TCCTTTTTTTCCGGAATTTGAGTCAATAAAAAATCGCTTGGAACAAAGAAACGAACGGCCGCCAATTTCTCACCGGATAATGCCTGGGCCCATCGGCCCTGGGGAGAAGGCTAATCACGACTGGGCATCTCGACTTCTGTTAGGTGTTAAAAATGGACACCGCGGGGCCCTGCGTTCTTTATCTCGCGGCCGAGCCATGCGGATCTCGCCCTGAGACGTTAAATATTAAAATTTGGAAACGTTACACCCGGTTGTGCCCACCTGAGATCCTTCCTTTCGAGCAATGGCAGTTGTGATAAAATATCAGTAGAAAGCGCGCATCAATTTCTACTCATCTTACGAGACGATTCGTCATAAATCTTTAAGTGTCTACTCGTGCACTCTAAAATACACCGTAAATTGCAGCCTCGGCTATTTCCCGAAAAGTTGATTCATCAGATTTGTTAGAGAGACCTCGTTTTGCCTTTTTACTTATCCACTCGATTCCTTCATTCTCGATGAATGCGCGAGATCACGTTTCTAGCTGAAAGGTCTCTAATGACGTGAGTGCATTCACCGCGGTCGATATATCGTCCGCGACTACGATGAGCCGATAGGGAATCGGCAATTTATCATGGAGATGCACGCGAACTCGACTTTCCCTCGGAATTCCTCTCGATTAGGTACACTCGATGAATCGTCCGCAGTTGCTCGATTTCGAGTCCCCGTACGAGCACGGTAACTTACTTCCGTCGACGAGCCTAACCACGTATGTTGTTAGGCACGCGTAACGCGAGGCTCTGAACGCGCCCGTGTTTCGTTACACGACGACGAAGCGCTCGAAATTCGATTCTGGCGAGAAACAAGAAAGCCGAAGCCATCGGTCTGCCGGTAATCTCACTTTCGTGTTTAGAATACCGAATTTACGTAACGCTCAACGTCACGCACACGGCGGGATCGTGTTGGAAACCGCGGCGATTGAGTGATATTTCATCGATTATTGTTTCATTATTTATTTCATTACCTTTCTCTCTGTGTACCATTCGAATCTTGCGCTTTTCTTATCGTACACTGCGGAGTGTTGGCGCGTTCTTTCATTCAATGTTCTCACGCGGAAATTCGAGAACAACCACGGCGGAAGAGCAGCTTTCGCAGGAAACCAGCGACAACGATTACTCAGATTTCTCAACGAAAGGAGTGTCCTCGTGTTTCGGTTTTCCTCTTTGGAAATGCAGCTACCTTTTGCTGCATCCCTTCCGATTCTCCCCACGGAAGAGCGAACTACCCGTTCGCGGGTTGAGAGAGGTTGAGAGAGGTGAAGGAAGAGGAGAGGACTGCAACCCCCGAAGACGCGCCCAACCCCTGCGGGTCATAGAGAGAACGGCATTTTACCGACTATTAACTCGCCTTTACCCCTGTTTCTTACCCTAGCAGCCTGGCTAAAGGCTACCGAAGGGAAGGGAGAACCGGCGCAGGGTCCGCAGGCGCCGACGAGATAGAAACGAAATTGAAAAAAAGGTGCACGCGGAATCCCTTCGCGCGTGTATTTCTTTCCCTACTCGAGGTTCCTCGCGTAATCTCTGCTTTTTTTTCTTCCTGTGCTATTTTTACCCTCCCCCTTCTGCGATATTTCTCTTTTCACTTTTCCGGGCTTCCCGAGATGGACGCGTGCAGGTAGCGGGCCAGGTACCTGCGCGACTCCTCCAAGAGGGGCAACAGAAAAAAAAGGGGAAAAAACGCTAGATCTCTCTCCGGGGGTCACGCTCGATTTAATCCCTGAGAAAAATCGCGCGATCCCCCTCGCCCGGCGGAGTCGTCGCAGTCGATTTCGAGGGTTAACCGATTTCCCTGCGAAATTTGAAATCTGAGAGCGCGTTTTTTTTTCCTACCGTTTCCCCGAGCGCGGTACACCCGTTTAAAGGCTTAAGTATCTCGTAAAAATGGGCTCGAGGATACGAGACGAGGCCTTTGCCCCCTCTTTCTTTTTTTTTTCTTTCACGCGACTTCCGAGGTTAGAGGGTCGGATGTCAGTCACCGTCTCTAATTTGAACACCGAGCGTATGTTTGAATAATCATCCAGTTTGTTGTTCAATCTCTAGACGAAGATTTCAGCAAGGTATATATAACGTTATTTAATTACGATAATTGAAACTTGCAGAAGATAAGTTTTGATTCTCAAATCAGAGGAGTGTGAAACTTGTTTCGTAGAGGTGACTCTTAATTTCAAAATCATACAAATAATTTGGATTGTCACTTTTAAATAAGTTTATTTTATAAAGGAATTTTTTTTCCATAATTTATTCTCTTTTTCTGTTTCTATTTCTTTTGTTTTTACTTCATCAACTTTAATACCTAAATTTTCTCACGAGTAATAGATTTATCTTCACTCCCGTATCGCAACACGTTATGTTTCGCACGGTGTTTTATAAACGAGGAATCTTGGAAAGATGACTCGCTGTAACATGTTTTTTTACTGTGATTGTGTATCGATGGAGCATGACTCGCCGGCTATGTGAGACGATTTGGAGCAAAGATGAGAGGGAGAAGAGAAACATAGGATCCCCGCGGTGCGGTATCTCCTCCAGACTGGGCCTTAAAAATCGAGTCAATTTAAGGACTCGGCCGCGAGCGAGATACAGAGAAACGCGTATATGCATGCGATTCTTCAGGAATCTCCCTCGCAAGGATGAGAATTCATTTAATATCGGAACGAGCGTCGAATCTTTTTGCGCTATTTATGACGGCCCTTCTACGTTGTATGTTTTTATTAATTATAATCCCTTATTAATCCGTATGAGAAATAAAATTCTACCTTTATTCACGATACTCGAAAGGTATGGCAATTGTGCCTCGACGAATCTGAAAACTTGTGCGATACTGTGCAATGCCTGTACACTTTTCTCACGTAATTTATATGTAAAATACTTACTCTTAGATCCCACTTGATAAGGACCTAAACCAAAGGTCGAAACGGCCAGCTGAGGTCGATTGAAATTTGAAATTTTATTATTAATACTGGCAATCTGAAGCATATTTATTAATCTGAAAATGTTGCTAATATATAATTGTACGAAAAATACTTTCCCACCATATACAATCAGTTTTCCGTCCCTTCGGGGGAGTCCGTGTTGCGATGGATAGTCATTTTTCATCGACTGACGAAAATCGTGGTAAGCGAACCATTCATCGTGATATAGGACACTCCATTCGTTTAATGAAAAAAAGGTGGGAAGCGCCTAAAAGAGTAAAAGAAAGATCCAACCGCGAAAAACGAGGAAGGATAAATTGAAAAAAGAGATCCAAGGGGTTTCGTAATTTTAGTAGACGTCATCGATCTAACCTTTGGAAAGGCGTTTCAGGGGGGGTCCCAGAGTTCCTTTTTCAATAAAGGGATCTTTAAGCCCTTTCCCGAATCTAAATCTACTCCTATCATGCTCCTCTCTCGTTTTCCTCATTCGTCATCTATTCTCAGGGCTTACTTGCGCGAACGAAACGCATCCTATCTACCTGGTGCCCGCGGATTATATCCGCAGGGTAAAAATCCGTCGAAACCTTACCTGTCATCGAATCATGGAGTCGTTTGCGATTAAAACTTGATTTTTCTAACGGTTCGTATATTTTGTTAAATTAAAATTTTTTTGATACTTTTTAGAGAATCTTACATTTTCTGATAATATTTTACTTTTGTGGAAAGCAGTTTATTTAACTATATTTATCGCGCACACATGACCCACAAAATTTATTAAACTAAACTTGTTAAAAAAATATGATGTATAAATGTATAATATGTATAAATGATCGGCTTCATTAAGATTATCAAAAAGATTAAATAATAAACAGATATTATTTAATAGGGTATCGAGTAGTATTGGGAACTTTTTTATACTTTTCCCCGTATATAGTTCGGAGCAGATGTACCTGCCAGCAGTCGATTACGTGGCTTTTAGAGAATTGAGACGTCTCAATTTCACAACTTCGAACCCAAGAAAAAACTTCCCCCGTGGTTTCTCTCTTGTACTGCTTTGGACCAACCGCATATCCCCGTGGATTTCACCGCCTCTTCCCAACTTGCTATATCTTTTAGACCAATCCGGAAGCATATCACCCCTCTGTAAAGTCTTTTCAAAATTACGAAAGAGGGAAAGAAAGTAATTGCGAGGAATCAGTGTGGCCAGAATGCTGGCGAAGATCAGAACTCTAGAATATTCGCAAGATTGTAAATATGGGTATGTAATAGGATTTTAATTGTTCGACACAGTGGCGAAGCAATATTCTTTTATTTCTTCTAACTCATTCTTCTCTTATTAATTGAAATAATACATGCTGAGCCACAACCTCCTCTAGCAATAATTAAAAATAGTAATTTAATCTAGTAATCGTGAATTGATCCGAATGGATCATTTCCGGCCGATAGCTTACAATTTTATAACGCTTCTTATCGAGACTTGGGCATTTTTAGAGCGCAAAGTTTTCGCGTTCGTTTAATTTAAGAGGCTTATACGAGTCTCCATTTATCAAGCAGATACGCACGAATTTCACTTGTAATTGCAGCGAATTGTTAGTTAATAAATAACTTGTGTCCCTGAGCCTCAATCGTTTTGCTCGATTCGCTTTGCGGTCGGCTTGCTTGGAAAAGTCATTTATTAAAATTGGCCCCGATAAGAAGCCAAAGCTAACTATTTTATGGATCGCTCGAGATATTCCGCGGCTCTCGTTAAGCCTCACGGAGAATCGTAAATACGTCAATAACGTTGATACATCAACATTCAGATAGCTCTTTTCCCCGCTTCTCAGTTAGCTCCAATAATATATATTACGCATCTTGGATTTCTCAAGTAAGAAGTCGTATATCATTATCGATATCGAAAAACGGCTTCGTCATTGATTACGAAACGATTGAATCGACTCTGCGTTCTGCAAGTTCTCTAAAATGTATTAATATTTTGAATATTACCAAATTTGGTTGTTGTACGTTTAAGTCTTGTTGGACAACGTTAAAACGTCTTTCCTTGTTGTTGTAGGAAAAATGAAGGTAAAAGAGGAGAAGGACGCCTCGTCGATGGCGCCAGGAAGTCCACCCACGCCTCCGCACACTCCGCAAAGTCCGCAACGCGCGATTCCGTCTCTTGGCAATCTGTCGCAATCCTGTCAAACATCAAACGCAAACTCGCCGAATCTGCAGCAGCAGCAGCAATCGCAGCAGCATCAATCGCAGGAGCAACAGCAACAGCACCCCATACATGCCATGGCTAATTCACCGTTGAGTCAATTACTGGTGCAAAATCCGGCATTGGCGCAACTGCTGCAACAAAATCCTGCGATTTTGTCGCAGAATCCGCAATTGGCGCAGCTGCTACAGCAGAATCTGCAGGCTCAGATGGGCAGCGTACTCTTTCAAAATGTAAGGCGGGAAGAGTCCGAGGAATCCAGAGTAAGTTTTTTTTTCGCCTAATAATTATTTTACTCTGGTTCCATTCCAGAGTTCATTGCACTTCAGCCGTGGTTGTAGAATAGAATCTTCACTTCCAGCGAAGGTGTCGTTTAAGGTCTGAAACAGCAATTTTTACAATCGCTCGCAGATTCTAAAGATTATTATTACGAGGAATTCAACAAAGGCGCAAATGTGGGCATTTATCGAGCGTATTAAAGATTTCAAGCAGTGTTGAATCGCCGCTAGGTATTTCGTCAAAAGCCACACAACCGCGGGCTATCCAAAAACAATACGCGATGACTCATTCGACTCGAGTCAGATCATAAAGTTACCAACGGGAGCTGTGTGAGCTTAAGTGTGCTAGAATAATTCAGCGCTTCCTAGAATCGTAAGCGACGAACAATCGGTTATGATACGTCGTAATAAAAGTCGATAGAGACTTCGCCGCCTGGTGATCATTCGCTTGTTGAATATCTTCGAGTTTTCTGTTATTCGTCGAACCATTTATTTCCACAATTCGCTTCGAAAATTTCCGTATCACTGGCAAACCAGAAAGTTGCAAAATCTTTTGCAATAAGATTATCATATACTTTTCTTATAAACATATTTGACACTCAACGATTGCGAAGACATTTCGTCAAATTCGTCTTCTCGTAAGACACAGAAAAATAGATTTGTTGTCGAAATTAAGGCAAACGGGTTTTGACAATGTAAAATTTAACATGATCGCATTATCATTAAGTTACGATCAACGAAACGATTTCGCGGTAATCGCAGTACAAATGCTAGAATACCAAAGAGGAGACACGAAACCGCGCAGACGATCCAGCTATGGGATCGCTGCTGTGGAATCCCATACAGGGAGAATTGAAATTATTCCCCCGATTTTTGTCGTGTCGTTTACATTATTTTCGCCTTTGAATATTAATGGGCATATGCTCTCCGGCGTTATGGCACAAGAAGTAACAACGGCGTATAATACTCGAGTCTTAACGTTATTCTATTGTTTGCAAATCAGCTCTATTGTTTTCTCATATACCTCTATACTCTCTCGCGTGCCCTCTCCTTGCTTCTCCTCGTCTTCCTCCTTCTCCACCTCCTCCACCTTTTCCTTCATCGGCGTGTCCCCCTCTTTCCCTTCTCCTTTTATCATCGTCTTTCTTTCTCTTATCGTTACCCATACTCTCCCTCTTCGATTCTCTTCTTCCTTCTCGTCACCACTCTTCTCGCCCCACCCCTGTCCCATTCCGATCTTTTTCTCTTTCTTCGCCCTCTGCGCTTCCCCCTCCGTGCCTAGATGCACACGTCCGCATTATATACATCGTGATGCACATTATTTTCCATTTCGCGTTCGCGTTTTCTCCATGTCAATTTTTTTCGTCCGCGATAAGTGCATTAATTTAGAGCCGTATATCGCGACTATTAAACATGTCTGGTTCTTTATTCCCCTCGTTTCTCCGCAGAATCGCCGACGGCGTATGCGAAAAGATTTTCCCAAGCATCCTGCATTCGCTCGACGTTATTATGCGCGATACGCCGCAATCCGTAATATTAGGTACGGAAGGTAGCCGATAATTATGAGCGAGGAATATAAATGTTCGATTAGAGATTGCAGAATCGATGGAACGCAATGGTCACGTACGCGAGGCGAGTTCTATTAGATTCGACGGAATTAATCGATTGTTCCGGCGCGCGTTCGATCGAGCGCACGAGGTTGCTCCTCGTTAGGAGTGAAGTTCACAGATCGGTATGGAGAATCTCCTCGAACGACAATGACGCGTCACGGCGTAATAGAATACGTTTGTGCCGTATTTATATACGAAAAGTAATTCGAAACTTTGGATAAATTTGCGTGCCGAGATATTTCTTCAAGTGGTTTCAGTCGCAAGTCGCGCTTCGTTCGCTCTGTTTAGTTGAAGGGAGAAATTAAATCGCGAGTGATTTTCGAGACGGACGGAAAATTCAACGCCAACGAAAGGAAAGGGGACGACGGCGAGAGACAGACGACGATGTAGTAACCGGTTCATAAATTCAACGACATGGCTGGCTCGGATCTTAGCTAGGGCTTCAGAAATCGTACAGCATTCGAATAATTTGCACCGCAATGGGGCTTCCAATATGTGTCGTTTCTTCGTCCGATCTCTCTCCCTTCGAGTAGCGTCTCTTCTCAGGTCTCTTGATTTTAATTTTAGCGCCTACTTGAATATTCGATAAATGTAGTCGTTTCGCAAGTGAATGAGTCCAATATGCGACACGTCGATATAAAAATTGGTTGGTCAAAATTGAAATGCCGTGGCAGATATGCCCCGGGATAATTTCATTACTTGGTAGCAGTAGGGTTAACGAAGGATATTAAGCGGCCATTACGAGCGAGCCTAAGGCCGTAACGCGATTAGTTCGCGGAATAGCCGGTCTTTCGTACAATAGATTTTACGGAAACATCTCGCGTCTGCCGCGTGGGCGGCAGGGTCCCCCTTTCGCTTCGTCCCCTTCGTTCGCGTACGGCCCTGGGCACGCCGGTGCATTGTACATCGTAATGTATTTCTTTTAGGTACCGCCGACAATAGCGAGCCTGGCGGCGATGAAGGTGGAGGCAGCTGACCCGAAGGTTTCCGGTGAGTTACTATTTCCTCCTGCTGACGGAATTATCGGGATCGTAATTAGATTCGAATCGAGACTGCCGCGTTCGATGACCCTGCTTGCGCGAACAAAAGGAAGGTGAAAAAAAAGAACGAAGCGGAAAAAGACTCGACAGTGGCGGATGCGAAATCGTCGACGTTCGCCGCCGCGATCTAGTTAGACCGGGTGATTTGTAATCGACAGCTTTAATCGTTGAGTCTATGATTAGAAGACAATGTTGCCGATCGGACGCACGACGAACGCCTGACCTTTAACGGCGTCGGGATAGAAATAATTGGTATGCGTTCGCGTTCGCCAGAAGTCTGGCCGCGTGTATTCCGGCTGTCGGAAGCGGTCGGATGTGTGGGGCGAATTGAACATTCGTCCGCAAAATTCAAGTCGAACCCGAAAGCTTTTATCAGCAGCGGTTTTTCGCATCTTCTCGCATACGCTCGCTGCAGGAATTACCTTGGCTGCGAAATGCCTCCACTCGAGAGAGAACCCATTTCCGTTTCTCCTTCAAAGCGGATTTCCCAACGAGAAATTAATAATCGGCCGCTACGCGTGGAGAACAAGCCTGGAGAAATCGCGCGTCCAGCGTGCACCGAGCACAGTGGGCCCGCATCTTTGAGTAATTATCGCGCATTCCTGCATGCCACGTGACAAATCTCAAGCTATACGTAAGCCGACTCTCAAGTGCCGTCGGCTCTCCCCGCAGCCTTTATTTGTCTCGATCCTCGCGAACCCGTGAATCGTGGCGCAACCTGACGAATCGCGGCCGTCCGTCGCTTTCAGTGTTTTGTACCCAGGGGCTGTTCCCCCTTTATTGGAATATCCGCCCACAGCATTATGGGAATTATCAAGGAAATGGGATGAGTGCCAACGCGGCTCCCACGAGGGGTTCGAGGGGGGGATGCTTCGACCGCCAGTGATAAAAGAAACCCAGGATTTATCAATCTCTCTCTCTCTCTTTCTCTCTCTCTCTTCCTCTATTCTTGTCCCTATTCTTTGAAGACACGTTTTGTGTACTCTGAATACTTTTGAATTATGTAAACGCGCAATATATACCTAGTCAAATGAAAGACATCAAAGCTTCGTAGGTTTTGATTTCATTAATTACTACAAAGACCGACCCCGTGATTAATATCCCGTGATGCGGAGTATTTTGAAATTAATCATTACTTTGATGAAATCGGGAATCCATTATTGTGTATAGAAATATTGCTCGCTGCATACTGGTGATAGATGGAGCACTGCATTACGTAAAGATGCCGATGTTCCTCCGAGGCATTATTAAGATCAATCGTTGCTCCCCGCCGTCATTTCACTATCGGCACGCGAATCACCATTTTTCTCGAAAATGGTTCGCAAATGATTCGTAATCTGTGGCCATTGTGCAATTCCTATCCGTCGAAACCGTGAAAAGAGTCCGCGACGGAAATCACAGCAATCACGACGAAGAGAGATACACGCAGAAAGAACGTCGAATAGAGAAAGAGAGTGGGCGGCCCCCGTTGGATTTTCTCGTCCAGTGACATATTCCCACAATTTCGGATCGGCCAATCCAACGTCGGCCGGACGATATTAAACGCGTGGTGGGATCTGCTGCGAAATGGAATAAAATAAAATGTGTACGTTGTTCGCGCGCGACTATGCAGGCGGTTGCGGAGGCAAGGGGTATCGGCGAAAGAAAGAGAACGCGAGCATGCGAGAGAAAGATAGAAACGTGAACGTATGCGTACGTGGAAAGGGAAAGAGAAAGAAAACGCCGAGAGAAAGAGATGTGAAGAGAGAAAACGAGAGAGCGGGAGAGAGAGAGAGAGAGAGAGAGAGAGAGAGAGAGAGAGACGCTAGCAATCAAAGCTGATTAAGCCCACAACTGGGGAATCTGTGGGGCCAGTGTCTCACGCCAATCTTGCCCAATCAGCCGGTTGGTCGGGGAGATTTAAAAAATAGAATGCCTACTGTCAATTGTCCCATAATTTAAATAAATCGAATAAATGGACAAAGTGGCCAATTAGAGTAGTTGCTGGTTGCTGCTTTAACGCATTATTCTCTCTTTCTCGCAGTGTCTTCGACTCTCCTCTCTCGTCTCTCCCTCCCCTTGTCCTCCTCGTGCACCCCTTCCTCCTCCTCTGTCTCCTCCTCGCTGAAGATGCTATCCTCCTATTTCCCCCGTCGTGCGCTCCCGATATCGTCGTCGTCCTTTTAATTCTCCGCGTTTGACATCGACGTGCCGCTGCCACCTTGTCTTCGTAGAGGTGCCTATATTACGCCGTGAAGAAAATCACCATCAATGACGTGCAATGTAAACGTATCATGTGTTTGTGCGAGATTGGTAATTCGAACATTAGACTGTTAAGCTTCGGTAGATTCGCTACAAGCGCGAGTTTTCCGGAATCGCACTACCAGTCTGTCATTTACCAAGATTGGTATCTCGAATAACAAGCTCTTACAATTATCTATATAGATGTCAATAGTTTTGCTTTTTTTTTATTTTGAAATTGATATCTCGCACATCACACTGAGAACTGTGTTTCTCAATTGCATGCATAAATTTTCCAGTACCGATACCACTTAACTCGTTCTAAAATTAATTTTTAATTAATGAAAGTTTTCCCCGCTAAATTTCCTAAACATATAAATTTTCCCGAATCAAACAGCGTACATATATGTACACGGAATAATTTCAATATCAATGGTCCAGACATGAGATTATACCGCATCTTTGCAGACTCGTTAAACCTGGAAATAAACCTAGTTGCTACCATTTTATCGCTGAGCGTAAATTTGAGATACATCCTTGAAGGTAAAAGGTAAAAGGAAGAAAATGATTCGCACTCCACCATCTCGGTCTAACTGGATGACGGGCATTTCTCGCTGGCCAAATTCTACCAGTGGACTTTACTAATTATAACAATTTACGACTTTAACAATTATCGCCGTTGTACGTGCGCCACCAGCCTGCACCTGTTCGACATACATACGTTTGCGAACAAGTTTAATGGCCTCATTGATATCTGTAACCATCAATTTCGTACAGATACAATTTAATTAAGCCTCGCTATCGCGCTACGACTGTGAGTAATATCGACAACGTCGATTCCTAACGATCGCATCTGTCAATTCGTAAAGAGAATCGCTTAATTAGTCCAGACGCATAATTCTTGAAATATGACAGCGCAAACAATTTAGAAAAAAAAGATCGTTCATCTTAATATTTTTATTGTTTTTATTCTGTTCCCTTATATATATTGTGTGCACATATGTCGTAATAAGTAATTAAGTCGCAATGAAATGATCGTCCTGGAAGACAGTAATTGTTAGAATTATACTTTTCTTCGATATAATCGACGGAGAAATTGTTATATAAACGACTCCCTTGACACGTTTAATTACACGAAACAGACTCGTTAACGCGAAATTACGTCTAGAAGACGGATATTGTAGGTGTTCTATGTAGATGCGCGTGTTCCTGCCTACATGGGTTGCCGGTCTGGGCAGGCGGCCGAGCAAGCAAGCAAATAGCAAATAAAGCATAAACAGGAGCTACGATAAATAACTGGTGCACCGCTTTCTGCATATAGCCTCGGTTATGAGCCCTTCAGGGCCTCGCTGCTTTTTCCCCCGCTGGCCTCACCGAGAGAACGATCCGTCGCCCCCACTAGATTACCTGCCGGATCCACGTACGTGCAACGATTCAAACACCAAAGAGTTAAAGCCTCGGCGACTGTTAGTTTCTGTTCATAACGCTCGGACGCGGGCAATTTTTTATTTTAACTGCCTTCATATATAGTTTTGGTGAGCAATTTGAGATCGTGAAAGGTATATTGGACTATTATCGCAAGAAGAGTATGTTGTATTCACAGGATTGCCGAATCAGTTTCGATAGCCAAATATAGTTACCTATTAACTTAAAAAACTGATTAGCATTTACTCTAAATCAATAACTCCATCGCCCATTATATATAACTTTAAAGATTATTCAATTAAGGAGTGACGTAAGATATCTTGCGAAATTTATTCTAAATTTCTTGGACATTGTATTTAAAAAATTAAATGAAGCAACACTTATTATGTCTCGTGTCTGTATTTAAATAAAAAATTAAATATCTACTTGATATTTGAGAAAAAACTTGACTAGAATAGAATCTGTCATTTTATGGAGTTTTGTTTGAACAGTCATCTTTGTAAGGGAATAATTTTTCATTTGTATGTAATTCTACTGCTTTTCGCGTTAATCTTCGTTTGTGTTTGAACTCGCGAAACGGATTTCATTATTCGAAATTGAACGACGCGATTGTGATGACAGACGATCGCTGTTTTGTTACCACGTCCGTTTCTCGGGCGAGCAACCGTTAGCCTTGAAGAAATACCATTAAAAAGCGATATGTGCAGTGAAAGAGAGCGACGGAGACGGAGAAGAAAACGAATTTCACGGTTCATTCGAAACTTTTTAAACGAATTTACACGCACCGTCCGCCACGCTTCGAAGGGGTTGAAACTTTACGTATTAACCGCTAAGTAAATATTTGACAGGTAAATTACAGCCTGCATTGTTCTGCTTTTTGTCTTTTTTTTCTCTCTTTTTGAAACGCTTGGCTTTATCGAATTATTGAGAAACGCAGGCAATTTCTTCGTTCGTAATGAAAGCGACAGTTTATTGTTCCCGGCGAGATTTTTCGATGCGACGATAAAAATACAGTAACGATTTCTGCCATCGCATACTCGCGGTAACGATTGCCGCGGTTCACCTAGACCCGCGCAGACAATAGCCAATTTCGTCGAGGTGGACGCAAACAATGCTCGCGCCATAATTCGTGGTCCACTCATGTTCTCAGGCGTTCTCGCGAAACGGCCCGTCATCACCGGTCTCCCCATCGTCATCCCCTGCCTCGTAAAAACCCAGCAGCGCCTGAAAGACGGAGGAGAGATACGAAATTTTATTATTTATATATAAAATTTATTATATCGCCAGTCCGGCCCCAAGGGGCTC